TCTAAGGTTAAAAAACCTTAGGAGGATCAAACCTCAGACATTTGGGCCACTTTGACTGAAAACAGTTTTACGTGCACTTCATTTGCATTATTTGTCAATCTTGGGCGAAGTGAATGCGAGGCTACCTCATGGCTATGACTTAGTTTAAAAAAGTGCTTCATGTCAGTGAACTTACACGCATCGCATGCAGCTTGCTTACGCAGTATCGAAAGTAGGCAAAAACTCGTTAGCTTTTTACTGTTCTTGAACTCTTGCCAAGTTTTATTACATTTATTTCCAGATTTCTAACTGTTAAACACTGCAACCCCAATATTAATTTGACTTCCCACTCTGGATACATTAATTACTTGGGTAAAATGCAACTCATTTTTCATGTTCCTTTCGCCTCCTTTCCTGCACCTTTCGAGTTATCAATGCTAGATGGTCTTTTCTCTTGTTTGCTCATTGTGCAATAATTAAAGAGAATGTAGACACTCACTTTTGAGGCTGCTTATATTGCTGCGAGATGGTAACTGGGAGAAGAGGAATCCTAGTTATAGCTTTGACTGTCCAGATAGCAACACTGCTACTAAAATCTCAGGCGCAAATGACCGCCTACATACGCAAACCCACGAACAAGGCAAGTAGTGCTGGGGCAAACAAGCGTAACCAGAATCAGCAGCAGCAGCAGCAGCAGCAGCAGCAGACGCAGTAGGCGAATGCTTCTGCATCAGGCAAGGCGCATTAGGCTGCGTGGAGGCGACCAGCACACAGCCGCCACCTCGCCAATGGCAGCCCCTGGGTGTACAAAGGCTGACCCACCTGCACACACGCACCCACGGACGCTAATGTTTGGTCGAAGTTGCAAAGGTCACGTGCCTTCCCGCCTTCTGCACAGCGTCTTGCACCGAACTCATTTTCCATTGCTCTGTGGTTGGAGGCTATTCACGCAAGCTGTTCCAATGCTGGCCTTACTAACTCCTATTCCCATTGGGGAAACTCAGGAAAAGCCTCTGAACAGTAAATGACTAAACAAGAAAGTAGGTATGAAAAAGTCCCTTAATGTTTTGTTATCTTTAATGCGAGTCCGTCGTCGGGGAGTGATAATGGGCTTTTTCGCAAATACAATATTATTCTGAACGAGAAAGCCAAGTCATGGCAATAGAATGCCTTCTCGATTAAACAAAAAGTGCTGCTGAAAATAATTATTTTTATTGCATGGTGCATTCCAACTTATGCAGGCGGAGGCATAACTCTTAGGAAGCATAAATAAACCCCCAAGGGGATTAATGGTTGTTTTAAATAGCTATGTGAATTCTTTCCGTAAACGTGACGCTTAGAGAACACACTTTGAGTGTCAGATTACAGATGAGGTATTTGGAAAATTTTGTCGAGGCTCATTACGCTTTTCGCTAACACTAATTCAAAATTGAGTCTTCTTGAACAATGATTTTGTAGTAATGTTTCAAAACGAAACATTTTTCACTATTTTGTTGCACAAAATATTTACTAATTAATTTCCGTAGGGCCCTTGGCTTTTCTTGAAGACAAAAAAGGGATTTAATTATGGGAAAAAATGTGCAGCGGTAACAAAGAGGGGCTGAAGGGCTGCCAGCATGACCCGCGGTTGGGCAGTCCGACGGATGTGTAATGGCAAAGCCGCGAGTGACCAAACCACTGAGAAGCTGTTTAAGCGCTGTATTCTCCATTGGTGCCTACAAACTCAAAAAGCATTCTAGAGTAGACACATTTCGCGTATATTAGAGGGCAAAAGCGGACTATTCATTAATTTAGCCTGCTGTCATTTCATGACATAAAGGTTCTTCTCCACTGTGCACAGCACTTTCCGAAGTGCAAACGCATGTAGCCCACCCACTTTTATGATTAATTAACAGAGACTGCAAAAAAATTAATAAGGGCTTCGTTGGCACAATATTCACGTTAAGACAAATGCGTGCCACAGTTGGGTACAAGCCCAATTTGTCTTCTACTCTCCCTCATTTGACTTTATGATTACTTATATCGTTCCGTTTCCACTTTGCCATCGTGCTCCGTCACTGCAACCTTTCCAAATCACCCTCTTTGGCACAGCGTACTGTGCACTGGAATGCAACGGGTAAGCCATAAACCACCTCCAACAGAAATTTTGATAGTTTCACAATTTTCTTCAATTAAATTATTTAAGGCGGCTTTTGAAAAATTTCGGGTCTGCCCTGATTGCTGTACAGCTGAGGAGAATGAGTTAAGTTTGCCCTATTTTCTATTCATATTTGCAGAAGTCATAAGACTAGCATTGTTTTGTGTAGCCTGATTTCTCTCTGAGGCACTCGAATTCTAAGGGATGCTAAACCACTTTGGTGCGACACCTACATTGTCCACATTTACCATCACCATTCGACAAAATTAATATTACTAAAAGTCGCCACCCTGATTGGTGCATCAATGACCATTCACAGTTTAAGTGTAAAAGAGGCTTCTCCAGCTTCTTTACACATTAAAGCGTCCCATATCCCGCCTACGTCAGTCGTGTCCCCAACTACCCAAGAAACGCATCTCCCCTTAATAGTCGAGGCATTAACGATAACAAGTCTTTATGAAACAGCATGACGTTTGGTTAAAAATTTCACTTAGAACCCGAGGGCTCCCTTTGATGACCGAGTTTAGGACGAATGCGCCCTACCTAAAGGCTGCCTACGTCTCCTCTTTAAACGGAAATGAAGTGTTCTGTCGGATAACATAATCGTGCGACCATTTTAAGGTTCTTACCATCTTTATGTCCGATAAGTGATGTAAAATCAGAACCTGCATCACCGAGGCTTCCGAGTACTCAAGAAGAAGTTAAACAATAGGGAGACTGCCTACCAGCAAAGCACAGTCAAATTGTGATGCTGCTAAGGACAGAGAAGTTAGATTACAAGAAGACAAAATAGTTACGCACTCAAATGGACATTTTGAAAATATGGTGAGGCTCAGCACTGCTGCTAGTGGAAAATAACTAATTACTGAGCATATTGGCCCGCTTTACTCTTTAAAATTTTTTAAGCAGGCTTTTATCAAG